AAAAAAGAATAACTTATTATTTCTTTTTTTTTTGTAGAGAATTTTTCAGCTATCGGGCACGTGTGCTCACTGGAGAGACAGAGAGACAGAGACAGAAAGTGAGAAATCACCCCCAAGGGGGATGGCCACACTACAAACCCTTCTCCATTCTCCTCTTGGAATTTTGTGCATACATACACACACGCCTGGTGGCATGAGTTTCAAGACATCAGGTACAGGACTCGAACCATAGTTGACTACTTGGGACTCTGAGCACGTACACATAAGAGCCTGGCACACTGCCATTTTTTTTTTCCCCCATTCATTTATTTTAATTTGACCAGAGAGAGAGAAAGCAAGCCACAAGGTTCGGGACTTGAACCACAGTCAGCCATGTGGAAGTGTCTAGCACCTTAACCACTGTTGGTCTCCCAGTACACTTTTTAAGCTGCCAAGTTTGGTATTCTGACTACACAGTTGGCCACGTGGGATCCAGCTGCCTTAACCTCCGTACCACCTGTTGGCCCATCCTCCATCAAAATTTTTTCTTTTTTAAGATAGAGAGATTTTTACTCTAGGGCACATGCACTCATGAGAGAGAGAGAGACAGAGAGAGAGAATGAGAAATCACCCCTGCCCGGGGGGGGGGGGGGGGCAGTCCCCAATGGGGATGTCATGCCCTAATCCCTTCTCCTCTGTTCTCGTCTCAGGATTTTTTTTTTCTTGAGAGCTTTTTGCTATAGGGCGCATGCGCTCGCCAGACAGACAGAGAGAGACAGAGAGACAGAAAGCGAGAAATGACCCCCCAGAGGGGATGGCCATGCCGCAATCCCTTCTCCTCCATTCTCCTCTCGGGATCTTGGGCATGCACGCACACGCGCCCGGCATGAGTTTAAGCCACTGGGTCCGGGACACGAACCACGGTCGACTACATGGGAGTCCAGCGACATAGCCATTATGCTAACTGCTGGTCCCTTGTCTCAGGATTTTTGGGCACGCATGCACACATGCCTGGCATGAGTTTTAAGCTACTGGGTCTGGGACTTTATCCGTAGTTGACTCTGTGGGAGTCTAGCAATGTAACCATTACGTCATCTGCCGGTCCTGCCCTCCATCATTTAAAAAAAAAAGTGATACAAAATGGCCTAATTTTCCACCTGTAGTGGATGAATTAATTTTGTAATTATTAATTCAGCAGGCTAAATTATGATTGGTCAATTGAAAGAACCTGACATACAAATTTAGCAATAACAGCCTTAGTCAAGTCTTGATAAAAAGAAAATAAATGTAAAACTATTTGAAATAAACAAGGCTGGTAAAGATTAATAAGAAGAGGTGGCTCAGTGGTTGGGGCCCTGGATTCCCACATGGCCCACTGTGGCTTGAGTTCTGGGCTTGGTTTCTCATTTTCCCTTTTCTGTCTCTCTCTGATCCAGTAATAATAAAAAGTAATAATAATAAATACAATTAAGTCTTTTTTTTTTTTTTTGGAGAGTTTTTTTTTTCGCTATAGGGCACATGCGCTCGCCAGACAGACAGAGAGAGACAGAGAGACAG